GTCACCACAACATGAAGAACTGTATTAAAGGGTCATGGCATTAGGAGAACCACTGATCTAGACAATCTTTAACAGATAAATATTGTCAGAAGTTAGAATAATGCCATTTTTTTAAGAAAACAATGAACAACATCAGTTAATTAAAAGCACCAGGTCCATAACATCCATGCTGTGGTTAATAGTAAGGTTGTGTTAATACATCTCCAGTTCTGTTCCTCCCTGGTGAAGACATACTGGTCCCAGGGAGACAGAGCTACAGGGATGCTAAATAAATATTTTGATGTTGTTAGCTGCCTTCCATTGGTTCTGACTTGGGTCGAGACCCAAGTAAAAGAAAAATAAACAATGTCTGGTCCTGCACCATGTCCCATTCATTCTGATGTTTGTGGTCAGTGTTGCAACATTGTCATGAATGTCAATCCATCTCTCTGAGTTCTTCCTTTTCCAAGAATGTTGCCTTTTTTCAAAGACTGAATCCTCAGAAATCTACAAGATCCACAGTTTGAAACCAACAGCTGCTCTGAGGAAGATACAGAGGGCTAGGTTTTTTTTCTTCAACAGTTAGTCTTCGAAATCCGCATGGGTGGTTCTACTTTGTTTTATGAGTTCACGTTGACTCAACGGCAGTGAGGTTCCTTTTGTTTTACTTGTAGGGGAGGGAGCAGCTTGGTCCCTTTTGAAAATGTGTCCAAGTATGAGCCTCTGAGTCTCACTGTCCTCACTTCTAGGGAGTATCCTGACAGAATTTCTTTGAAGTTTGTTCTGCTGGTAGACCATGATATTTTTAATATCCTTCACCAATACCATAATTCAAATTCATAAATTCTACTCTGGTCTTCCTTACCCATTATTCATCTTTCCATGCAAAAGAAGTGATTGAAAAGCATTTGGCCTGGGCTAGCAGCACCTTTATACACAATGTGACGTCTTTGTTCTTTAACAATCTGACGAAGCCTTTGTCAGCATGTTTTCAGTGCAGAGAGTGGTTTGTTTTCTTGACTTCCTTCTTAGGGCATTGATTTTTGGACCCAAATAAAGTGGGATCTTGACAATTTTATTTCCCTATCTATCACAA